ACCCAGTCTTTTTCTATCGGTGGGGCTGCTACCCGACTAGAGGTGACATTTGTTCTCTGTCATTGACATTGTGACAGATACTTCATGCTCTTATATATTGTGTGTCCCCACTCCCAACAGCTGCATCTGAATTCATTCAGGGCCCATTCTGTAAGTCAGTGACCATTTCTCTGTTGTTGACAAGAGTGAGTTGGCCAGGAGCCCCTGCACAGGCAGAGGGCACACAGAAATCGTCCCGGGAGAGGGAGCCAGGAAGACCCAAAAGGAGGCTGCAGGGATGGGGCTGCTGGTTTCGCCCGCTTGGCCTCAGTTCTTTTGTGTCCAGGCTCAAGCCCCGTTTTTCTGGGAGTAAGCGCGCCCCACGTGGAGCGGAGGCAGGGAGATCGCAGCGCCCGCGGAGGGCACGTCAGTTCCTGGAAGCGGCCGCAGGGCGCAGGCGCGCGGGGCCACCGTTCGCGGCCGGGCCCGGGTGCTGGGTGCCCGCCACCGTTCGCAGCCCGGCCTGGGTGCTGGGTGCTGGCCACCAGCAGGCCAGGCTCCGAGATGGCCTCCCAGGCGCCGTCTGCCCCCTGCTCCCCAGAATGCCTGGACGAGGACGGGAAGACAGTGTCCCAGCTGCGTAGCGTGCAGCTGCCCTCGGTCCTCTCCAGCGACCTTGAGCAACTGTTCCATAAACTGCCCGGCACGGCTCTGATCAGGGCCTATGGCCGCTTCAAGCTGTCGACGTTGGAGGCACGCCAGGACGGGCTGCTGGCTCCCTTGGACCCGCTGGAGGTCAGCAGGGACTCACCACCACCCCAGGAGCACCCGAAGCCTGAGAAGAAGTTCTGGGGCGACCAGGAAACCCTCTCCAAGGTCAGACTACGGGGGTGGGGTGAGGAACGCAGACTTGAACCCCGTACGTGGGGAGGTCGCAGTGAACGGGCTAAGGAGAGCCGTGGGGAGCCACTTGGTTTTGCCAGCCCGCCCTCCCCCCCGTGAAGCCTCTGGGCTGTTGTCTCTGGGAAAACAAGGCTGTCCTGGGGGAGGATAGTGTTTCAAAGTGGGGGATCCTGACCCCACCCAGACTGTGATTTCTGGCCGAGCCTCCCAAACGTCCCCATGGTGACATCCCCAAGTGCATACCCCAGGGTCAGTGAAGGAGCCCTCCGTACCCATGAAACAGTTTGCTCCAGAAACAACAGAAAAACTAGAAGAATGAAAAGAAAAACAAAAAAACACAAAACAACCCCCCCCTCCCAAAAAAAACCCTATCAACACTACTTTGTTTTCTCTGTGATACTTGAGAAACATTGCATTAAAACAAAGGCTGGTGACCAGGAGTAGGAAATAATCTGTGAACAGAGAGAATTCCTGGGGATGAAGAAGGATTTCCTAACCAAAATCCTCCATGGAGGCTTTAAAATCAGAGCAGAGAACTGAAACAAAATTAGAATACAAAGCTCATGGGATACTCTGAGACCCAAAGAACAAATATAAAGGATCGATGACCGTGAGAGAAAAGGTAATGTGTGCCTGAGAGATCCAGAAGAGCTGATCTATACAGAGGAGGTGTTGGAGAGGAAGAGGAAGCAGGGGGAGGAAAGAAAGATAGAGAAGGAAGCAGGGAAGACAGTCTCTCTGGGCTGAGGAAGACAGTGGTGCTCCCTTGGAAAGAGCCAGTCCAGTTCAGTGCAAGACTGCAGGCAAATATAGCCCATCTTTAGTGAATGCCTGAGTTGCAAGGGTAGGAGCAAGGTGTGCATACAGACCACGGATGGAAAAGCCTGCGATCAGCTTGAGGTGCTTGACTTCCTGGCCAGCCCTCAGAACACCTGGGAGCAGAGCCCACAGCGAGGATTGCTGATTGGCTCTGTGATCTCTTCCAGAAAAGTGTGTGTCAGCGCTTTTAGTCATATTTATTCCGATTTTTTTTTAAGTAAAAAAAAAATTTTTTTTAAGGTTTTATTTATTCATTTGAGACACAGAGATACAGACAGAGAGAGCATGAGCAGGGGGAGAAGCAGAGGGAGAGGGAGAAGCAGGTTCCCCGCTGAGCCAGGAGCCCGACATGGGGCTCGATCCCAGAACCCTGGGATCATGACCTGAGCCGAAGGCTCAGCAGTTTCATGGGTACGGAGGGCTCCTTCACTGACCCTGGGGTATGCTTAACCATCTGAGCCACCCAGGTGCCCCTGATTTTTTTTAAAGTAAAATTAAAGGAGAGCACAGAAATTTTCAATAGAACATCCCCAAGATTCAAATTCAATAGATTTAAAATGTTCTGCTTTTTTTTTTTTTAATAGGTCTCCCTAGCATAGCAACCTTGTCCCCCCATTTCTTCTCTACAGAGGCAAGAAATGTTTCTAGTTTCTTCTGTAGTTTTACAGAGATAAATTATGCATTTCCCAGCACATACATGTATATATCCCCCCCTTTTTTTTTACACAAATGGAAGCATACCTTAGACCCCTTATGCACCTAGTTTTAAATTTTTTACTTAGCATATTTTAGAGAGCTTTCCATATCATAAAGAAGCAACTTCCTTGTTCTTTTTTACCGGTAGTATCCCACTGGCTGGCCATCTTCTGGTGACTTTAACCAGTCTCCTGTGGATGCACATTCAGGTGGCTTATTATTTTTTTTGACCTAAAGTTTTTATGACCCATGAAGATGACAGAAGTTGAGAAGGTCTGTAACTTCTCCCAGAGGAAAGTTTCTGACCTAAGAATTCTCTACCTGCCCAAACTGCTGATCCCCAACAAAGGCAACAGAAAGACATTTTCTTCAGACCTGCAAAGACTCAGAAATGATGCTTCTCTATGAGCACAAAGTTACTCAGGGGAGCACTCCAGCAAACAGAAAAAAAGAAAAAAAAATCTCCCTCTGCCCCCCCCCCCCAGCTTTCTCCCTCGCTCTCTCAAATAAATAAATAAAATCTTTAAAAAAAATCCAAATGAAGCACTTCAGTAAAACAAAGAGCAGTTTAGAATAAACAGAGGGGACCAATGACTGAAAACAATACACTCTGGTTAACGTGGTTGTGTAGCTCAATGAAAATGTTAACAAATGATCTTTTAAAATGAAGGTGCAGGCGCCTGGGTGGCTCAGTCGTTAAGCGGCTGCCTTCGGCTGGGGTCATGATCCCAGAGTCCTGGGATCGAGCCCCACATCGAGCCCCACATCGGGCTCCCTGCTCAGCAGGAAGCCTGCTTCTCCCTCTCCCATTCTCCCTGCTTGTGTTCCTGCTCTCGCTGTGTCTCTCTCTGTCAAATAAATAAATAAAATCTTTAAAAAAAAAAAAAAAAAAAGGTAGGCAAAAAGGACATTGAAGTACTTTAGAGTAATGGTTGAATATTAAATAATAGAATAGTATTAATTGGCTATTCATTCAATATTAGATGAAGATATTGTTTTGAACATTTTTTCTCCACGACGTGGTCATCATTACAGAGATTTGGGTCCATAGCTTGCTACTTGAGGTAAGGGAAAGTTGAAGGAGTAGTGTGTGCTCCCACCCTGATACCCCTGATCCCGTGATCCGTGTGTTTCCAGCGATGGCACAGGCTTTTAATTCGGTTAATGTGAGTGTTGGGTCCCAGAGTGCTCTGGGCAGTGGTGGAATGGATGACAAACAACTCCATGATTGGCTACCTGACAGAAAGGATTCCTGAGCTTGGAAGATGATGAAAGTTCTGTTGTGGTGACAGGGGAAGAAATGTGCTGCCAGGTTGAAAACCAAATTCATTTGTTTCTTACCAATGTATCTGCTCTTCTCTGACCTTCTACTCGTTTCTTTGTTGTGCTTTTCCACCGTGCTTGTCATCCTGATAGGTAGTTGATCACATACGCCTAATGACATGGACCATCGAGGTCATGGGAGGTGGCAGGGGTCACCTGGGATAAGATGGGGGCTAAGTGGCAAGATGGCATGCTGCCCGCATCTGCCTGGTTCTGCTGTGTCTGCGCTGGAGGACCCGTTCTGAGTGTGCGGGGTGGAGAGTGCGCACAGCTGTGTGCCCTGGGCTGTCCCATAGGAGGCTCATTCCAAATGAGGTGTTTTGTCTTTGTTTTTGAATGACCCCAGCAACCAAATGCCTCCTTAGCCTGTCATCATAGGAATCAGGGAGGGAAACACCCATTTGTGCCCCCCCACACCCACCCTTGCCTCACTATTCTTTTTCAGAAAAAGAAGCACCGGAAGCACAAACACAAAGGCAAGCAAAAGAATAAAAAATCAGAGAAGAGTAGTAGTTCTGAGAATACGGACAGCAGCGACAGCCAGAGTGATGAAGAGGGGCCTGCAGACCTGTCACCCCAGGAACTGCTCAGAAGGTAGGGAGTGGGGCATGGTGGTTTTCAGAAACCCTCCAGAGGCTTGTTGGAATCTTGATGTAGTTGCTGAGAGGCAGATGTCAGAAATGATAAATTTGTATATTGACTAGGCTTTTTAGAAGTTCACTTTTTACTTACACAAGTAATATGTGAATATATTATCATTGTGAAAATTCAAACCTTACAGATAAAGCTTCAAGTGGTCCTCGAGCAGTTTCCCAAACCTCTCTCTCTAGCAACCTCTGCCGTCAGCTTCATGTGTAACTTTCAAGACTTTTTTGTTCAGTCTTTCTCATAAACACATACACACACACAAACATATGTACACACGTTTTGTTGCTGCACATTTTAAAAATAAATAATACAATTTTATGTAGCATAAATCTATGGAGTATGAACATGTAGAATGAAGAAATACTGCCAAATTATTTCCGGAAGTGTCTGTATCCATTTTACCTTGTTACTACATCAATTACAAACAATTCAGAAATGTTTGCCAGCACGATGGGCCTTCGAAGAATGGCATCTCACTTTTAATTTGTATTTCTGGGACTAGTAATGAGGTTGAGTGGCTGGAGGACAGCCTTTGCCCATGTGCTCGCTTCTGAGTAGCTTGCTCACATTCTTTGCACAGTGTTCTGTTTTCTGTTACATTGTTTTACTTGTTTCAGTCAAGTAAGGTAGTATTTTGCTGATTTTTAGGAATTAAAAAAGGATAATTCTGGATATGAATCCCTTGTGTTTTAGTGTGTTACCTATCATGTGACTTTTAATTATCTTTGTTGTACAGAAGCTCTAATTTTTGGTGCCCTCAGTTTTACCAATGGTTGGGGGGGGTATGTTTTATAATTTTGTCTCCTAAAGGTCTTCCCTAACCCAAGAGTTTATATATGTTTATGAGCTATTCTGCTTTTATAGTTTTGTTTTTGTTTAATCTGTTTGGATTTTTTGGTTTTGTTTTTTGTGAACAGAGTGGGGTAGGCCTCTAGCTTACCTTTCTCCAAATGGATAGCTAGTTGTATTAGTCAGGGGAGTGAACTAGCTCCATGAAGCTCCCCACATCCCCACAGTGGAGCATAAAGAAAACCAGGGTACTGCCCTGCTGGCTCAGTCGGTAGAGCACGCGACTCTTGATCTCAGGGTTGTGAGTTTGAGCCCCACATTGGGTGTAGCAAGTACTTAAAATAAATTAATATTTTAAATTAATTAAAATGAATAAATTAATTAATTAGAAAAAAGAAAAGAAAACCAAGAAAGGTACTCAGGACCCCAGTTTGTTCTGCTTCAGTGCACGGACCTCCTAGGAGGGGATGGGTGGAGGGTGGCATTGGGGGTGGTTGTGGTCCTGCCTGGATATCACGGTCTTCACTGCTGCATGGCCTGGTCACCACGGGGCTGGGAAAGGGAAGTCCAGCTGCGGGCTCAGGATGAAGGGGGAGAGGCGGGGGTGAGCACTCCATGTCAGCCCTATGCGCCGAACCGGCTCATTAAAGGTAGAGTAGCTTGGTCGTGTCCTCAGTCCCTGTGCGGGCCTGCTCCTCCATTCTCCACTCTGGTTTCTTTCTTTCTTTTTATTTATTTATTTTTTTGAGAAAGAGAGCGTGAGAGAGCATGAGCAGGGGGAGGAGCAGAGGGAGAGGGAGAAGCTGACTCCCCACTGAGCATGGACCCCAATGCATGGCTCAATCCCAGGACCCCAGGATCATGACCTGAGCTGAAGGCAGACACTTAACCCACTGAGCCACCCAGGTGCTCCTCTTCTCTGGTTTCTTAGCCATTTGGTACTGTTCTGTCCACGCTGTTTTAATTACTCTGACCTCGTAAGCATATCTTGCCATCTGGAAATACAAGTGCCACCCATTATTCTTTTCCATTTACTTCTTCAGAATGGACAATACATCTCATGATTTCATGATTCAAAAATACAAAGGAGATGAGCATTTCAGTTTCATCCCGAGCCTCCTGAAGTGGCTGTGCCCACTCCTGTTTCCCTGTCCTCCTGCACACCAGTATGATGGGGGGGACAGGGGAGGAGCACACCCCAGGCATGGCTCATATCATCCACATGCACCCCTGTGAGGCAGACACCTGGGCCCCCCCCGTCTTCATAGGTGGGACAGGGAAGTTAGGTCACGTGGCCAGGCCCACGGAACCTCACCAACACCTGAGGCCCTCACCCTTGAGCATTTGGGGCCATCTGATGAGTCATTCCTGCAGGGGAAGCCCATCAGTGCCCATTTGGAGGGCATGGTGGGAGGGCCGGAGCAGGGGCTTGCTGTGGGCACCGTGCAGCAGTCGGAAAACATGGGCACACAGCTCTGCACTGATTGGATCTAAAACTTACCATCAGGAGACCCAAGGCTGCAGAACAGTGTATACAGGTGGTGCTGTTGATGTTAAAATGTTGTCCTCAGGCCTTTGGGTTTCCCTGCGTGCACACGCATGTACATCCTTGCCTAGGAAGAGGGCTGGAGGGGTTCTTACACCCCTGAGAGCATCTCTCTCCAAGGAAGGGAGGGGCAGAAGTGTGGAGTGCATTTATCTGACCCTTGTGGTTGCTACAGGTAGTCCCCACTGCTCCTCACCCCAAGCTCCTAGGTTCTCCCCTGGGAGCCTGGAGGGCCCTCCATCCTCTGTGTCTCGCTCCCCTCTGTGCATTGCCTGTCTGCACCCATCTTCTAGGAGGGGTGGCAGGAGGCTCACGACCACCGGGGCTCGTTTGCATTCCCAGCACCTGGCTTGGAGTGTCACTCTTGGTAAGGGCCCTGGTACTTCTCTTCTGGGACCGTGCAGTTTGGTTCTGGTGGAATCGCAGTTGGCTGCCTCCACCCCCTTCCCCCGAGACACCGGTCTACTTCCTGTTTCTATCAGTTTGTCTTGCCCATTCTAGAATTTCATAGACATAGAATCATATGGTTTAGTAAACGCTGTAGTGCACACACATACTTATATGCGCACAGACCATAAGCTTCCAGCTGCGTGCATTATCGCTGCCTGATCAAGGGATACCCCAGCACCCCACAGCCACTCGTGTCTCCTCCCACTTAGCATGCCTGCCCCCATTCCCACAGGTAACCCCTCTGCTGGCCTCTGTCACCATTGATTAGCGCTTGGACTTGGAGAAGGACTCTTGCCTTGGCCACATGATTCTGGCAGCAGCAGCTGGCTCGCCCTCATTGCTGTGGAGTAACCCTTTATGGGACCACAGAATATTCATCTCTTCCGTTGTTGGGGACATCTGGTTTTCCACTTTGGGGCTGTTGAGCAAGGATCTAGAGGCAGTGTGGCCCAGCTCTACTCGATGAATGCCCTTGTGTCCGTGAAGCCGAGATTTAAGACTGTCAGCTTAGGAGCTTTTGGCCCTGGAACAAACATGTTTTGTTTTGTTTTGTTTTGTTTTCAGTTCCTTCCCAGCGGTCCTACATGAGATAGGTGAAACCAGGATTAGAACTTGCTTTTATAAACAGGTCCTAATATGAAGTGTGGGGTGTGAGTCTCCCTGTGTGTTCTGGGGGCAACAGAGAAGCATATTAAGAAGGCAGATTAAATGATGCTTTCATAGTTTGCGGTCATCCTCTGTGTTCTGTGGGTATACGTGTGCCACTGGGACTTGGGGAGGTCTGGCATGCTCGGCTCCCACGGAGATGTCTGGCTTTCCAGTTCTTACCTAATTGTCCTTCTTTCTCCTTTATTTCCTTTTCCAGGCTGAAAAGTCTTCCGCTAAGGAGGCAGTAATTGAATTCTACCCTGGCCTGTCCCAGTCCCAGGTCTCCTCCATGATGGAAGCTCATCGACTGCTCGCTTAATACATTGTACAGATTGTATTTATATGTAAATTCATGCTGTAAAATAATTTTTAAAACCTTGACATTTCAAAGGCTGCCTTGGAAGGTTGCAGAAATTGATTTCTATTTTTAACTTCAGTTAGTGTCAGAGGAAATAATTCAGACTGTACAGTTTAATTAAAATGGAATTTTTCTATTTTCTTCTTGATTTTTTATTTCCTGAAACTTTTAAAAAGAAATGAAAAGTGAAAGGTTTTCTCTGATTTTGCGCATGAAGAAAGCTGAGTCCAGATAAGCACAGTTGGACTTAATTAAGGACTTGTAAGAGAGAAGGACGTGGTTGTTTCCCCATTCCTCAGGCACCGGGCTCCTGCCTCTCCTCGTGCATGGTGGTGGCCAGGAGCCCAATGGGCGGTCCAGTGCCAGGATCCTTGCAGGTGGCCTCAGCCTTTTAGGGTGGATGTCACCAAAGTGTCCCAGTCTCCGAGACCAAGCGCCAGAGAGTGTGCACCCACAGCCCAGGTCACACAGGCTCCAGGTCCTTGCTCTGCAGCCCTGGGTCCCCGCTCAGGAGCTGCCTCATCATCACTGATGAGACCTTGAGAAAAGTTGCAGGGGTTCAAAGTGACAGCATAGAAAGATCAGAAGGATTTCCAAAGTAGAAAGAAGGAAGAAAACCGCTTCTACTTCTACCATCCAGAGATGATAACCCTTAGTATTTGGGAATATCCACCTTTTTTTTTTTTTTTTAAGATTTTATTTATTAGAGAGAGAGCTACAGAGGGAGAGGGAGAAGCAGGCTCCCCGCTGAGCAGGGAGCCCGACTGGGGACTCATCCCAGGACCCTGGGATCAGGACCGGAGCGGAAGGCAGAGGCTTAACCAACTGAGCCACCCAAGCGACCCCTACCCAGTCTTTTTCTATCGGTGGGGCTGCTACCCGACTAGAGGTGACATTTGTTCTCTGTCATTGACATTGTGACAGATACTTCATGCTCTTATA